TGTTTTTATTCAGCAAACAGGAGCACCAGTTGTCTCGGATATAAATATCCTTCGGAACACGTATTCAATTCCATATTCCAATGAAGCGCGTAGCCACTCTCTCTCCATCCATCCCCGGGAAATGAAGTGCATGTCCAGCAATTTCATACAAAACCGCGCATAGCAAGTTGAACTGCGAACGAAGAAAGCGCTGATCGGAGGCGCTTCCCTTCCCAACCCATTGTGCTCGAACAGACATACTTGACAGACCGCAGGTCGCGGAACAAAGACTTTTCTACGCAGATGCGTACGAGCGTCTTTGAACGACGACAATGGAGGAAAACCTTGGCCCAAATTGGTTTTTTTTACATGGTTCAGCAACACAGATGCATAAGGAATCCATCATTTCTACAAGGTTTCACTGCGCACTGGGGAACAAAACCAGTCCAACCGCTGTACCTACGGGGGAAAACCGGAATAATGTTGGCAACGAGGCTGCACCAATTTAGTCACGGCGGGCTGAAAAGTTTCCCCAACATGACTTACGCTGGAACTGTGTCAGGTGAAGTCACAGCGATATGCCCGTATATCAGTCCAAAAGCACTACTTCAAACGAAAACTGCCCACTTTCGTAACATATGCGCCCATTAGGCACGTGCCAAGGAGGGGCCAATCAGTCACTAGCGCTCACTTCTACCGCTACAACGACAGGTGCAACTTTTGCCGTAGCCACGTGCACTTATTGATCCCTGAAAGAAACGAGCCAGTGCTATCCAAGTGGTCCCGAATCTCGTCAAAGGTTCCCTTCATGCCTTACGAAAAGGGGGAGTTTTCGTAACGTATGAAGGGAACCTTTGACGAGACGCTGGACCACTTGGATAGCACTGCTCGTTTCTTGCAAAGATCAACAAGTGCACGTGCCTTCGACAAAATCTACAGCTGTCACTGTAGCTATAAAAATGAGCGCCAATGACTTATCTGTTTGCCCTTAGCACGTGCCTGCCTAATCTGCGCCAATTTCTCTCGCGATGGGGGACTTATAACGAATGCTACATTTATCCCTGGGCTATATTCCATGTGTTAACCAGCTGTATATTGAATTGTTGGTTCCTACCGTATGCCGTGGAGCGCT